GGTCCCATGCGTCCCAAGGTCTTTGCAATACGTTCTTCCACCGACTCTCTACCAAGTGATTTCAATGTTAACCTCTCGAATTCGTGGTTAAGAATAAATATATTATCAACTCCCACTGCGAGCACCAGGAATGGTATGACTTCCGCAATAATCAAGGTGACCTTTATCTTTAAAAATGAGAATATTCCTACAGAGGTTGAAACCGATGCCAAGACAATGACTATTCCACTAATTCCTAGCATGAACTTTGAGTCAATGATCGTGCGTGGAAATGTTGTCGTGTTACCCAAAGCAAAAGATGCGTAGAGAAACATCACGATATACGAAATGGCTATGGTTAGAATGTCTGTGTTGGTAGATTTATTCAGCTCGATCTCTAGAGAACTCTGATAATTATTAACAATCACTAATTAATAGATTTTATTGGGTAAAGCGAATGAGGGAAGTGTTAGATCCGAAAGTAGTACAAACCTCTGTGGAAAAACTTATTCTCAGCTGCGTCATATTTATGTCATTATTTTTTCCCTCAATGACATCTTCCAAGTATTCTCTTAACGATTTCTCCCATTCCTCGGCCATGCCAATCCTTCTTTCGTTCACATAATTATTCAAAACAAACGTGAGCACAAAAGCCTTTGCTGATATATAATTCTTGTCATCGAAACCACCAAGAATCATGTCAGGTTTCAGTGGTTGTTGAAAGTCTGGCAAACAATACGACGGAGTATTTGTGCACATTTCGAATTCATCTTGCCATGTATCAGGCTTGAGTTTCTCAACCTGGGATTGCCAATAACCGGCAACCGACTGCACTATACATGCGTCCCCATTCGGATGAAAACATAGATCTTGCAGAGTAAGATGGTCTGGATAAGATTCAAGTTTTCGAATTTGCTGTTCCATTATGAATAGACTTTTGAGATTCTCGTAGGACACAACACTTTGCGTTGGGTCCCTATTAGTAATAAATATTTGCTGGGTTCGATAAAACGGACCAAAGCTTTTATCAAAAAATTCCTTCTGCGTTGCCGCATCCGAATTTGGTGCGACCCAGAGACGAACAGGATCGGTTTCCACCGCAAAGAATAACCAACCCGTGGATGCTAGAGACACGAAGAGGAATGCCAAAAATATAGTTTTCCAAGGGTACCTCGCACAAATGTATCCTTGCTGATAAAAGTACTCCTGAAGAATGGCATTGAGCAAGTAATGTCGCGAATTTCCTGAATTCAAAAGTTCGGCTTCGGCTTCGGCTTCCGAAACAGGGACTCGTACAAATCCGGAATTATCTAATTTTTGCGATCTACCATACCAAAACTTGATTATGACCAAGATGAGTATGACACTGCTAATCATGACTATTCCAAATGACCAGCAATCCAGTGAGCCCACATGGCATGACGGATATTCATCTGGGGTCGGATCGAGAATAGGGCACACTGATTCACAATCAACACAAGAACATCGATAGTTGATATCTGTGTCATTACATTGTTTTGCTGGATCATTGTAAGGGGTCATTGCGCCTGAAGGATCGACTAGTGGAAAATCAATCTGAAATGGAGATCCCATTGGTCGTTCCGTTCCCAGGTAGATTAACATATCATGATAATTTTTGGCGCCACCACCAATAAAGTCCATTACATACCCATTTGTCGCAGTAAATTTGATGTCTTTGCAAGAATCGTAAAAACCCCTTCCTTGATCTTCGCCGACAAAGAAATCCACGCTTGTAACAATAGTCATACTATCTTTTGAAATTCCAGTAGACGTCACATTTACAAAAGTTGATTGATTTGGTGAGCATGTGAAGGTGCAAAAAAAATAAAGAAAGTTCTTCCAGCAAGCGGGACATGAACCAATTAACGTCTCGACTTGTTTTATGTTGACTTCCAGATCTTCCAGTTGACCTGCATCACAACATGTTTTTGAGTTTTCAAATTGAGCTCCACAAATTTCAACAAGTTTTGACCTCAAGTCTTCGTCAGGCTGTTATAATTACCAAACAAAATGATAACAAAATAAAATTGTTAAACAACTTCTTGGCAGTACAAACTAGAGAGAGAAGCAACGCACGAAGTTGTTTATAACTCCGAAGACCTTTGCAATTTAGCATACAAGAATTACACGCTACCTCGACTGCTGGTTCGTTGTAGGGACAATTTAGCTGTTTACCAAAACTAATCTTTGAGCCACATTGACCGCGCATTACACAATATCCTTCCTGATGTATTTCGGATGCAAAACTGGTTGTTATGGTCAATACAAACCACAGCACCAGGCTGCATCCCACCAACGATAACGAAAAAAGGTGTTTCATAATTTCCGTAGGCGAACCAACAGTTTATGCTGGCGGATTATGCTTTGCAAAGATACTACAATTACGTTCAAAAACAAGTTTCCTGGAATCAAATGACAAAAAGATATTTTCGCGAACAAATCAGTTCGTACGTAAAGTTTTCATATTGAGGCACTTGATCTGATGATACATGGTGTAACTGGTGTAACACAATAAGATAATATCAAAAAAAAAATATTCTCAGAACACCAACACGTTAATTCCATCTAGTCAAATATTTTTTTAATTTAACATTGGATTATTGCAAGTCAACAACTTTTTACGATCATTTGAGGGAATTTTCTTTTCGGAAATTTATTCAAATTTTACTGCAAGTGATCTCCAATATATAATGGATCTGTATTGCGTGAAGATTGGGATTGTGCGATGCAGCTTGCAATTACATCTCCTCGATTTCCTTTCCTCAAATGTCAACGTGGAAAACAATGACTTCCTTGTAATTTTAAAAATTACAATTATGATCTCATAACACGTGCGTGAACAGGATCACGCGGTTGACACAAATCATGAATCTGTAAATCCACGTTTGCATATGATTTTCTCAAGCTCCTCATGTCACTTGTTTTCGATTCACAGGCTTTCTTCCTCGCGAATATTCCTCCCGAGTCGACAGCTTCACAAGATACCATCAAGATGTCTTCTCCCGTGAGCATCTCGCAACCACCTTCCCCGGTTGACTTCTTGTCTTCAACTCCGCCTAGCATTACTCGCGTTTTAACATATACCTCCCCATTAGTACATTTGTTTTCACAATTTTTGTCGTTAGTAACATGGTCAACGGGGAATCCTTCAGAATCTTGCTTGCTGGTTGCTGCCTGGTGGACTGTATGTTTGTACCCCAAGGAGATAATAATCTATGGCATTCCTTTGAGCCTTTTCCTCTTGATCGTCTTGCGTTGGGTAGAGAAAGGAAAGAGCGAAAGGCTAGGTAAATGAGATGCGAGGATTACGTATCTACGTTATGATTTGCTGACCATGTCGCTTCGCTTTCTCAGGTAAAGCTAGTTTTGCGTCGCGAGCAACTTCGCAAGCAGATTTAAATCGGACGGTTCACGAGATAAACCGGATTTCTGATAAACTCTCTTCATTTCACGCTTTCTTAAACACCGTGGATTCCTACATTGACTGGTCAAATCCTGCGCAAACTCAAAAGGTGTTTTTCGGTTTGATCTACTTGTCTCCTCTTTGGATACTCATCAACTGGATTATACCGTTAACCTGGATTTTCATAATCACTGTGACCTCCTTCTTGGTTTGGAATAGTCCATGGTTGAGAGTGATTAGATCCGTGCTCATGCAATCTCCATTTTTCCGTGGAATTGTCAGTTTTATTCTTGGCTTTGTGTTTAGTGGAAGGTTAAAACAACCGGGCGGCGGATTCTCCGTTGGCGCTTTTTTACGTAGGGCGATGGATAAACAGAGGAAGCTCGCGTTGAAAAAGGAAAGTTCTGATAATGATACAAAGACCTCCACAGATTTAATATTCAAGTTTGTTTTGTATGAGAATCAACGTTGGTGGCTTGGGTTGGATTGGACTTCCAATCTATTCCCTAATGAAAGACCCGCCTGGTAAATGATCTACTTAACGCATTCATTGTGTAAAGATTTCCTATTAATTCGTGTTTACAGGTCTGACGAATACCAGGAGCCAACAAATCACAAAGACTCATTTCAGCTTCCGCCACCCACTACAACTCATATTCCAACTCCCGAAGATCCTAACGTTTATATCCAAAAGACAATCGAATGGCGATGGACCGATCAAGAGTGGACGATTGAATCCAGTGACAACGTTGACAACGAGGGATGGGAGTATTTTGATAATCGATGGAAGGGACCTTCATCCAAAGGTGGATTCAGAAAGTACACTCGTCGCAGAAAGTGGGTAAGAGCGGCTAAATTGGTGGAGACGATTCAAAAGATTCAGAAGACCAAAAGTGTGACCTTTGAAGAACCGGAATCAGAAAAGAGTAACCCGGAAGATCAAAAGATCCCTTCGTCACCGCCATCACCAATAACACCGAGTCAACAAACCAAAATTGACACTATGTAATTACCGAATTAAAGGCGGAAGAAATGCGATGATTCAATTGGGAAAACAAATGGAACCTTGGGGAAATCAATGATTGGCGGATTATTTATTGTTGCAATTATTGTTTAATAAATAAAATTTGAAATCCTATATAAAAATCGATTGATCTAGATTACTACATAAGAGTTGGCAATAGCAAATGTGATACATTTTTTATCCAATGTAGATTATTTTTGCGATCACTTTAAGTAGTTACGTAATGAATCACGCGACATAAATACCTCCTACAAATTCCATTCATCAGACACGTTATTTTGTAATGAGCACACCAACAGCTCCTTTGTTCACGTGGCCTCAAACGTCTTTACTGTCTACACGACTAGACTTTGGTCGATTCGGAGGCTTGTCTTACAGGGAGGGGACAGGTCGCGATATCCAATGGTTCTCCGCCAACAACTCAACCCGTAAGATCCTTCGTTGCACCATGTTTCACTGTTGTTATTTCACATGGCCCTCAATTATTGAAAAATTCCGTTTTCTGCGAAAAAGATAAACGGGTCAATCCCATCACACCACTCGCACAAGTATTCCCACACACGCGTCGTTATAGTCCAGCAGTTAAATTAATAAATGAACTCGAAAGTCCGCTTGCTACCCAATCTGTAAGTAGAAACTTGACCGATTTTTACAAACGCGTCCCTTTTAGCATTCATATACTTAGGAATATTATTTATCAGGTAAAATATTTGCAAGAAAGATATCCCGAATTTGATGTCCCAAGTGACTTTCTCGTGGATATTCTAGCTGAAGAATTGAATAAAGAGATAAAGTCGGAAAATTGTGATCCATATGTGAGCGCGCAGCTTATTTCGTTGGGAGAATATGAAGCGGGTCCAGGGCAGACAAATAAATTTATGGCATTTCCTATTGGACAAGCCGGATCAGAACTGTGTACGTGAAACTTCTCTTACTATCATGTCGTTTACTTTGGCTTCATTTTGTCACTTTGATCCAAATTTTATATAAAGGTTTTACGCCAATGACATATCACGAAAAACCGCGTGACAAAGATCTTTCCACTGGACACTATCAAATGGATTTATCGGCTATATCAAAGTTAAAGTTTAAGACACCCATTAGGCAAATAACTACAACATCACTCAACGCTTCATCATCATCGATTATTGATTTTAAACCCTTACCACGTAAGATCTTGATATAAATTTTACGCGCCATCAACCTATCTGGTATATGTTTTTTTGATCGATTGCTTGTTGCTTTACCTACACATAATCTTCTTATAGCTCTAATGGCTGTACGCACAATGACTGGAACAACATTCCTCCGGATCCTCAATATTGACTCGGAAATGGACAACTCTGGATTGAAAGCTTTGACGTTGGACACCATACCTGGTCAAATATCGGGATCCTCATTTGATCAAATGCATATTACATTCAACCCAATGTTATATGGCGAAGCAGTTATTGTGGATGCCGGCGGAGGTGTCTATTTATGGACGGCAGAAAGGAATCAGCACATTTCGTCGTCGTAAGTAGCCTATTGAAATTACATTTCATACATTAGACATATTATAACAGCTTATTCAAGTATATGAATCACAAAGGAATATAGTAGAAACCATAATAGCTTCACAGGATCAAGAGTATGTACGGCCGACAGATTTATGGAGGATCTGTGAGTTCGCAGCCCACCCTCAATGTCTTTTTGTTGCCTCCCGAAAAACTGTGGATCTTCTTGATTTTAGGGTACTCTCATCACTTCTGTCCGCCGTATCATAAATAAGCACATTGTCATTTATATTATGTTTGTTTTTCTTTCTCTCTCTTAGGCTCCTGTCACCGACACAACCACTATCAATCTATTTGACATAAATGATGGAGATCATATATTTGCGTTTCAACGTTTTCCTACACTTAATTCGTTTCAGTCCATTCTCGCAACCAGAAATGATATAATATTGCTGGATCAGCGTTTCCCTAACCGGGAATTACTCAAATGGGTTCACCATCGTGGTGAACCTTCTGGCTTGAGCATGATAAATGATGGAGGCAGTAAGTGTACACGCAAATTTCGGAGATACGAGACCATGGGTCAATAATATCGAAATTGAAAGACACTTTTGTATATTTCTTTCCAAAGATTCAATCGTTTTAACATGGACGAAAAACATACCAAAGTTAAATGTTTTTCAATTCTCCACGTCCGATTTGGTGTCCGCAACCGACTTTCCTATTTCAATTCCATCATTTCACGAACATCCAACTTTCAATCGATCACGCTACATCAGATCAACATTAGTTTGTCAGCCAAGATTGTATCAATCAACTGAAGAGACGCAACCTCCGAAATTACCTCCTTTAGGAAGTGTCATATTGCTAAAAAATGATGTTAAGTATCGAGAAGGGAACACCTCCGCGAATCCCATAATGTGCTTTAGTGCCATACAACTTTCGCACACAGGAGCTTTATATTCGCAGGAATTTTATTTGAACCACAAAGCTGATACTTTTTCGGAACAAGATACGTCAAAGCTTGATGACACGCAAATCATCGAAATGCCGGATACAGTAAGTACTTTGCAAACCTTGGCAGACAGAGACGTCGGGACGAATCCTGAAATGCAGTTTAAGACATATCGCATTTGGCCTCTAGACAAAATATGGAATTGTGAGTAATTTCATGGTTACATATCACGCATAAATATATGCTTTCTAATTCTCCCTTTCCTCCTGCATCCAAAGACGCAGCCAGAGAATTTAGGTTTCCTTTCTACAAAGATACTAATTCCGATACTCTCTCAATGAATTCTGTGTTCTCGTCCTGGGAACTTGTTGAGACGTTCTTTGAAAATTATGCACAATCGACAGGTTTTATGTGTAGCAAGAAATCGGTGACTTACGACATCTTGGGAGATGTACGATCAGTGACCTTCTATTGCGAGAACGGTAAACTGATCGAAAAAACATATGCAAACGGGCTTAACCGATTTTACCCTTGCACGTGGAAGGTCACTCTTAGTCGCCAAAAGCTCGATGATCAAATATTCATAACAAAACTTTCCTGTCAACACAACCATGAACTATTTTCGACTTTTTATTACTCACAGAGGAGGATTCACAAACAAAGAATTGAATCACGTGGACTGGGGGAAAGGGTAAGCAAAAAATCTAAAAAAAGTGGTAGGCCACGTGGGAGACCGAGAAAGAACGTGCAATCAGTGAGTCAGACGCAAGAAGCCATTGAAGAACGTTCATGGCGTATTACAAAAGAAGTCATACAGACACGCAAAATGGATATTAGCCACATCTCTTGGAATACTCGTCATTATCTTAATAACAGTGATGGACATATCCTAACTCCGTATCCTTTAACGTGATTTCCGTTTTGTCATTAATTTTATAAACCGCTTAATTCACACAACAGATATGAAATATTGAAAAATGTATCATCTTTGGACAATTCAAATAAGGGATTACAATCATTTAGAAATGAGAATACGATAAAGATCGTTGATTGGAACAGCGCCGAAATGAAGATAACATTAGAGCAGATATCGAATATATACGGCGAACTTCGTCCGATTTTTAATTATTCGCTTTCTTATGGGTTCCCTTTGAACAATACCTCTTTAAATAATACTGATGATTCAATTAGAGAGATTAAGGCTACCCTACGAAGACACTATCCGTTACCTTTATCGGAGAGAAATCTAATTAACCCCAGTGAGATCAGATGGGCCGATGAAAATTGGTTGCAAAAAATAGAAAATGACCTCATAAACGGATCATTCCCTTCGAACGTCAAAGATAAAATAAAAATACTCCGTGACTTCGCTATAGATGAAGTTGCACATGATCTCATCTATAGTTTATATGCTCTTGCATCAAATGAAGAAAGGTCCTCAAGAGATTCTCTGACTTCACATTTCCTTCCAATCTCGAAGTCAACGCCAGAAGCGGCGACCCTTGAACCCATTGGAATTAAGTGTACTCATTCGAAGTCAATTTGCAAGAAGCAAGTTATACTGGAAGAACTTCAGTCATTCAAGCTTACAACATTCGCACAATCTTTGCTAGACGACTGGACCATAGGTCAAGATCCTAAAGAGTACGAATTTTGTTATAGAATTGATGACACTGATACTAGAATTCAAAGTGAAGGCGATATACATCAACCATCTTCACTAACCGTCATCAGAAGTCCAGTCCCAACAGATGATCTTTCCTCTGATGAAAATGAAGAAAGCTTTAATGATTTAGGAAGACCGACTCATTCACAATCTTCCCAGTACGACTCAGAGGATCTCTCGGATAACTTTGACGCACCTACCCTTGCTCATGCAAAAAGCCCGGTTGCACATGAATTTGAAGAATCTGTAAATCCCTCAAATGATACGAAAATTGAAGAGGACAACGGCACAAAAGAGAAACCCAAAAAGAGAGCAAGGATATCTGGATTTTAATAGCCTACGCTTGATATGTGCAAGTCAATCAACTCCAAAGATGATGGTCAATTTAAATGATAAATTCAACGAATTTATATCCATTTTGTCGCCCTCTACCGATACTTCATTCTTATCTCCTTCCCGTGGTAGATGAGAATATCTGCGTCACACAAACCGAATCTAGCAATATTCATATAGATTGGAACCAGAAACCTGAATTTTTAATAAAACCAAAAACAGATTGTTGGCTAAGATAATTTGATCCCTCATACTACTTAGCTATAAATTGTAAAATGCTTTTTTTCAAGAGCCGTCGTTTTTTTGCATTTCGAAAATTGTTTCTATTGACGGTTACTAGTGTATTAAAATTTACATGCACTTCAAAAGTGAAATTTAGTATGAAATTTAATATGCAAATCACTACTTGTTTTGATTTCTTTCAATTTACGATCCTAGCTTTAATTAATTATATTAACTTGAAAAACAAACTGGAATTTTTCCAATCATATTATCAATAAACTAGTCATTTATTTCGGATACATTATTTAAATAAAAAAATATTGAATTTATTAATAATAACTTTTGATATACTGTATATTATATACGTATATAGTGGCTTCAAAAAAGAACACATTTGTACGTTGATTTTTAATTAAATTATAATGAAATTAATAGTGTATATTATATGTATTATTATTAATCAATGTCTTCAAAATAATTATTCATAAAATAAAGAATAATGATTATTATTTACTTGAATAAGAATATAGTTTGAGATAAGTAGTTATTAAAGATAAAAATAATATTTATTATTTTATAATTTTAAGATTTAAAAATATTTTAAATCAAACAAATTAAAAATAAATCTATTTCTAATTGTTTACTAAAGCCTATTTCGTATAATAAACAAGTTATTGTTCAAAAATTATAAAAACAAATGTGAAGTAACAACTAATATATTGAGATTATATAAGAAAAATATTATATTAATATAATTTATCAAGTTCTTAAAATAATAGATATAAAACATATATAAAGTCTTTATTAACATAAATTTATAAGAAAAATACAAAAACTGAATTATAAAAATTGATTAAGATATAATTAAATAAATTCAAAAATATAAGATATAAAAATATAGAACTTATTATAATATAAAATATCTTATAAAAAATTTTTAAAAACAAATTATTCCATTTATTAAATTATTATAATTTGATTTTTAAAAATATTATACTTTAATATAAATATAATTTTAAATATAAAAAAAAAATTGTTTAAAAATAATTAAAAATAACAAATTATAATTTTTTTTAAATTTCTTTGATTACTTAATTTAATTTACTAAATAATATGTAAAACAATATATTAATTATTTAAATATTGAAAAATTTAACAAAAAAAAAAACTTTATAAAATAATTTATTATAATAAAAATTTAAAATAAAATATTTGAAAAAACTTGAGAAAAATTATTAAAATAATATTAAAAAGAAGATTAAAATAAAAAATAATATATTAAATAAATAAATACAGTGTGAGTCAAAATTATTGGAAAAAATTTTTTATTAATAAACTTTACAACTATCAAAGCAATTTAGACGA